TTGTTGGTGGTGGGGGGTGATTTGGCATGTCGTCCTTGCGTGAGTGGATGAGGTGAATCGCTGGGGTTTTTGTGAGTCACTTGTTTTCACCACTTGAATTTCAGTTTTGTGAATATCTGACATTTCTATTGAAGGGGGAACTTGACGTAAAAGGTGCCTTTTCCTTATTTCTTCTTTCTGTTGTCAGACCTTTGCAGATCATGGCTGATGGCCCTTTTTCTTCTATCAGGTTTATGTTTTACTGTTTGAAATCCTGTTTTTAACATTTCTGATTGCATCCCTATAACCGCATGCTCCTTTTGCATCTTTTTGGCTGAACTTTTCACATCTTATTTTACGATTTGTGTTTCGAGTGAGGTGACAACTGCATGGTTTGTATTGAGACACCAACTGACGTGACCTTGTTTTATTCGATGCTTAACAACTCTCCTTTCCGTGCCATCCACAGATCATGTTCGAGACCTTCAACACGCCGGCAATGTACGTCGCCATCCAGGCCGTGCTGTCGCTGTACGCATCCGGCCGCACCACCGGCATCGTGATGGACTCTGGTGACGGCGTGTCGCACACCGTGCCCATCTACGAGGGCTACGCACTGCCCCATGCCATCCTGCGTCTCGACTTGGCTGGCCGCGACCTCACCGACTACCTGATGAAGATCCTGACGGAGCGTGGCTACTCGTTCACCACGACGGCCGAGCGTGAGATCGTGCGCGACATCAAGGAGAAGCTCTGCTACGTGGCGCTCGACTTCGAGCAGGAGATGGCCACCGCCGCGTCGTCCTCGTCGCTCGAGAAGAGCTACGAGCTGCCCGACGGACAGGTCATCACCATCGGCAACGAGCGCTTCCGCTGCCCCGAGGCCCTCTTCCAGCCGTCCTTCCTCGGTGAGGTTCTCTTCAGTGGGGTTGATAGGACTGATCTGACAACTGTCAACGAGAGTAAAATAAGAAATCGTTGAGTTGCAAGAAGGACCCCAAGTTGTGACTTGGTGGTCTTTAATGAACGCCCACATATGTTCTTTTAACGCCACGTTGCACTGCGCTTTTCACAGTAACCCCCACCAGGTGATGATACACTAACTGTGTGCCCCTCTTTTTACACCACGTGTGCCAACAGGAATGGAGTCGTGTGGCATTCACGAGACCACCTTCAACTCGATCATGAAGTGCGACGTGGACATCCGCAAGGACCTGTACGCCAACACCGTGCTGTCCGGTGGCACCACCATGTACCCCGGCATCGCCGACCGCATGCAGAAGGAGATCACAGCCCTGGCGCCCAGCACCATGAAGATCAAGGTGCTTACCACCACCACCTTTGCCCAACATTTAAAATTATCTGTACATATTTAAAAGTTGGGAGTTGCTTCCATTTAAAATTCCATTCCATGTTGCTTGTATCAAGTGTGTCCTCTTAACAAAAAGAAAGCTTTCGAGATTTAGTTTTCAGTCAATGTTACCACCCCAACAGTTTACTGGTAAATTATTAATGATGTGTCGTTGCTGGCATGGGGTTGCTGACCTGGGTTTTTGTTTCTCCCTCTCTACCCCCTCAGATCATCGCCCCACCAGAGCGCAAATACTCCGTCTGGATCGGAGGCTCCATCCTGGCGTCACTGTCAACCTTCCAGCAGATGTGGATCAGCAAGCAGGAGTACGACGAGTCTGGGCCCTCCATTGTGCACCGCAAGTGCTTCTAAAGCAGCCGCAGAAACGGCAACAAAACGCCACCAAACCCTCCTGCGTCTCGTCCCCCCTGTGCCGCCACTCTTAGGAGTCGCGATGTCTTAACAAAGGGGATCCTCCTCTGTTTAATCACTCCACCCCCACTTCACACTGTTGGGGGGTGGATAGGAGTTGGGCGACTTGGGGGCAGAGTTGCAGGAAGGCTCTTGTTTCTGTTCTTGGGCCTGTAATTGATTAAAAAAAATTGTTCCATCGTTTATCCATGCATTGTGGTGGCCCCCGTGTGGCCGTGTCAATGCCTGCCCCTCTCCATTCTTTTTCTAAGTCTAACTGCTCCATAGTACTACTAAACATGCAAGGTCAAGTTTTAATTGAATTGATACAAAACGCACTGATGCACTTGATTATTGCCCTTAATAGGTGAGCATTGTGCATTCCTAGATCATTCCACGTAGACTTCGAGTCTTCTCCTGAGATACAACTTGCTGCGTGAGTTGCAACAGTCCGAAAACTGGTTCAAATTTCCTGTACATTTAATTTCTCTGCTTGTTTTGTACGCAGACCAGAATTTGTCGTTATTTTTTTTACTTGCCTTAAAACTACTTAACTCCCATTTCTGGTGAAGTTGAAGGTGAACAGTGACGTTTAAAATCGTATCGCCTGTTGTGAGCAGCACATTTCACATGTTGACTTTGTTGGTTGTACCAATTAATAAAGGACCATGTCTGCATTGCTCTGTCATTCCTGTGCCGTCTGTCTAGTCACAACAAACACGTGTGCTGTTGCAGGATTCTATTTTGTAGAGGGGTAGGGGTTTTTGGGCCCACTGGCTTATGGCTCTGATCATTTGTCCAAAAATCTCCCCAAGCCAGCTCTGCCAAATACCGGGATTTAAATGCAAGCCATCTGCAACACCTGCAATGAGTTTAAATGGTACAACAGTTCATTGGCAATGGTAAACAATTTACAACACTCCAAACAACCCACCCTGGGATTAAGTCCAGTCCCACCTTATGTTTGACCATTTGTGGGGGGGGGGGGGGTTGACCATTCATTGTGGTCGGTTGGTGGACTTTGAAGGCGTTGGACCAAAATCGGCAAAGCCCATGGCACTTGTTAATGATGCGGTGGTTGGGAATCCTGAGTTCTATCCGATGGGTTGACAAGCCACCGACACCTGTATTGCAGCAATGTCCCCCAGGGTCTGTCATCTGGAATGAGAGGCCGCCAAATTCACCATAACATGATTAGAATTGAGCTCATTTAATCCAATGGGTGTTCAAGTAGTGCACGATATCTTCCCCTCATTAACACTGCCCGAAAAGAGCAATCTAAACTTTTCAAGGTATTGCTTTAAATAGTCTTCCTGCCATCAAGGGACAATGCCGAGTCTTGGTGCCTGCAAGTCAACCCTCTTTTTGCGTGGCTGATGTCCATTATCAGCTGGCGAGAGCGACTCCGAAAAGGATGAGGTTAGGATTTAATTTATATTTGTTGTACAGTCCTTTTGTCGGTTAACTAGTGGATGAAGGCCTCTGCTATGGCGGGTGTGGGGCTTGTTTGGCCATCAAACTGAACGTCTTCGGGCTGGGTGATTCGGAGTTACTGGACTTTTGCTCCGACTCAAACCGTGCCTGGGAATTGAATGCAGAGTTCTTGGCACGCTGCCATGAGTTTTTGTAAGTTGAAACTTGTTAATGTCCTCTGGAAAGCGGTAACTTGTAAGGGGACACATGGGCTATATGTCAATTGCTGTAACTTCCAAAACTAGTTTGTTCCCCTCAAATCTCACTTCGAACGAATGAGCAGACCTGCCGCAAGACGATAGCCAAAAGCTGAACTTGGAAATCCCCCGGCGTGTTTGTTCAAACAATCTGGCAATCTTAAATTATCCAACACACCGCCTCTGTTCACCCATCAGTATAAATGGGTACACCACAGTCAAGTCAACTAAACTATTTTTGTATTTCACCGGGCGGAGTTTATAGCTATATAGCTTTTATTTCGATTTTCAGAAGCGTCCTGGCGAAGTGAAATCTCAAAGTGGCTTATTGTCATGTAGAAATGTATAGCAGGTGAATGCTCTAAACGCGTGATGTTGATTATAAATGTCGAGGGCAAAACCGGAGGACCTGGAAAAAAATCCACGCGACTACGTGGAGAGAGATGCAGACGCAAATATACAGCAGGCGTCGAGATCGAACCCACAGCCTCCTGTATACCACGCGAGGTAGTTAACATCTCACCACCGTGGCGCCCCAGCCGCGAGAAAGGTGGCGGCGACGTCTTGGCCTTCATCCAGCAGTGGAGAGGCCGGCAGTGGATTGTCAACGACGATGATGAAGGTTTGTCAGGGCCCCCATTGGGAATGCAATGCGGTATCTTGACATCTGCCGCCGGTTAAATTTGGAAGTTGCGATGGCGCCGTGCCACCGCTAGAGGGCGCCACCCGCCACCAAACGGGAGATCTGTGAGGGCTTATTTGTGAGGCATACGGGTATGTATGTACAATATGTTGAACTTCTTTCGCACCGTACGCAGCCAATCGTGCTGATCGGAGGTGAACATCCCATTTGAACTCGACTTGCAAAATTAATAATCACAATAGGGCTCCCTCCAGTATTTGTCTCCACATTAAAAACAAATATTTACACATTCCATCGGCCGCATGGCCTTGTGAAAAAAACCCATCTATATAAGGAAGAGGAGTCACACTACTGCTGTTTGTTAAAGCCAATGGATTGGAGCGGAAATGGGAGAGGGCGCGTGATGAGAGTGGCTGATGAGAGACGGTGAACGCGCCATGACCGAGGCGACATCACAGAGATTCACAGCTCATCGGATTCCTCCAGGATTACTACTTATTCTGATCGCAGAGTGCAGAGGGCACTCCCGGACAGACGCGGTTGGGGAGAGGAAGAGAACGGGATGTTACAGGCTCTGAACAAGAATAAACAACACTAATTACCGGCTCACATAGAGACCCATGGACTTGCATAGAGACCCATAACTTACATAGTGACACATAGACTCACACAGAGACACGTAGACTCACATAGAAACACAGAAATCCAAATGGAGACCTATAGACTCACATAGACACCCATAAACTCACATAGAGACCCATAGACTCACATAGCCTTGCATAGAGACCCATAAACTCACAGATACCCATACATGGACTCACGTAGAGACCCATACATGGACTCACATAGGAGACCCTACGGATGCATTAAAGGAGAAAACGGAAGGAAATGTGGGAGGCTGTTGCCCATCAGTGGGAAGTTACCGGCTCACAACATCATCATCATCATCGCCAGCCGTCTTTATTTCCCAAGAGATGGGAAGTCGCCCGTTTGCACAACAATCATGCACTTCGGGCAAAGAGACACAGAGACCCTGGGTTCAATTCCAGCAGCAGCGGTGGCAGCAGGCAACTTCTCTCGCCCATCGCCCCACGTGGAGATTTCCGCGCGCCACATTTGAAGCCACGTTGACAGCAGGCGGGAGATTACGGCGATCGACATCGCGGACAAGAGCAGCGTGTTGGACGACGCAACGCCAACTCGTTTCCTCTACTTCAGCGGAGCAAATAGAAACAAGCGCGCCGAGTCCTCGCTTAACGCGCGGTGGTATAACGCGGTACATAAGCGCACCGCTATAGCGCGCTTTCTGAGCGGTCGACGACGAACTACTTTCTTGAGCTGCGCAGCTGTGCGGAGTGATACAACACGCGGAACGATAGAGTAACACGGCAGCATGCCCTCGGTTATTTGTCCCGCCATCTCACTGCGTCCACGTCCGTCGTATCTCGCCAAACTTTTATCGTTTCACTATTGGGGAAATTGTTTTCGCTTAACGCGTTTTTCGCTTCTCTCACGAGGCACTTCTCAGGAACGCATCTACGACCGCGTTAAACGAGGACTTAAAGCCATTTCATTTCATTGACCCTGCACGGCCACTAAAAAAAAAAAATCTCTTTTGGGAGGCATTCACAATTACACACGGCCACACACGCAAACACGCGCAGGCACCTACACACATCCACAAACACAAAGATCCCTCCCGTATAGCCTTTAACAGACTGTTAGGGCAAGCACCTCTGAAGGCCGGCACGGCACACGAGGGGGTCGGTGGCCAGCACCACGCCCGGTCACCTTTGTCTCCCCAGTGGCGATGTTTATACACCTTAATCCACACCAGGTGCTCATTTGAGGCTCAGTTGACCTAGGGGAGGCCCAGGAACCGGTTCTGATAATCGTCGCTAGTACACACATACACGTGCACACATGTCCACACACAAGCACATGCGCGCGCACCTGCACACAGGCAAGCGGCCACGTCCAGAGAAGAACATTCAGCCCGCAAGGCATCATGGAACACGTAGCCATCAGCCGAAGGCGCAAACAGTCTGAAATAATACGACTGAAAACATAGTTCTGCAGACAATCATAGCTCTATCTCGAACCCAAACACTATCCCTAACCCAATCTTAACACTATCCTAAATCATATCCCTAACCCCAACACTATATAGTACTGAACCATAACCCAACCCTATCCCTTACACGATCGATCCGAATCCTATCCCTAACCCCAATCCTAATACTAGACAAAATCCTGTTCCGATCACTATATTGAATCCTAACCCCAACCCGAACACGATTACTCCTAACCCGATCCTTAATCCCAATCCTATCCCTGATCCAAACCCCAACCCTAAGCCTCATCCAGACCGTAACGCCGACAATATCCCAAACCCAAATCGAACCCTATCTCCGACTCCAAACATTACTATCCAGAAGCCAATCCCCTCTACCGAACCCACGCTGCCCCCTGTCTTCCAACGTAAGTCTGGGCAGCGCCAATGACCACACGAAACTCAAACTAGTCTGATTGGCTCAACGACGTCCTCAGGGCCCGCACTCTTGGCGCTTTGTTTTGACAGGCAGAATTATTCCACTGAAGAGCCAAGATTCGCGCCACGGTTCAATTGGCAAGAACCAATTTCAATTGCCTCGTTTTGCGAATCGCGTTTTGCGTGCGGATCGTGTGCGCAAAACCGATTCCAGGACGACTCACCGCACGCGGTACGTCCTATCAGCAGCCGTTTAAGGATCACCGCTTAGCCGAGACTTTTCCCGCTCAAAGCGGCTCGGAGAAGCGGGGGGTGCCGCCTTGGGGTCGCCACCTGATCCGGGCGTGACCTCGCATTGACCCGGACTTGACCACCCGGTTTGAGCCGGACAGTCGGACAGAATTTGTACGTCCACACGCGGTTGGCGGCAGGAATTTTATTAGCGCCGAGATCTGGCGGCGCCGCAGTTGTCGAGCTGTACTACCGCCACCACGGCAGCGGACCTCTCGCGTGCCGAGTGGGGACACGTGCACGCGCGCTGGGTCCACGCGGTCGGGGGAAACCCTTTGTGACGTCGCCGTCGTCATCATCACAGGAGCGTGCGCTCCACTAAGACCGAGGGCGCCGTGCTCGCGGCAATGCTCCGGCTAGGAGCCGCCGAGGGTGGAGCTGACGAGCGTGGAGTTGAGGGCCCCGCAGGGCACGTCGGGGGCGCGCACCTGGCCCGAGAAGGAGTAGGCGATGAGCGAGCCCGCCGTGAGACCCATCATCAGCGACACCGTCATGATGTTGCCTGCGCGGAGGGGGTCACGGTGTAATCGATGGACGACGAGCGCACGGACGAGGTGACGTGCCGCACTCACGTGACACTCGCCTGCCCTCGCGCAGAGACGCTCGCCGCGCACGAGTCGCCGCCGCCCGGCTCACCGCACCGCCGCTGACCGCTTCTTCACCACCCCACCGCTCACCAACCCTCTCACCACCCCACCGCTCACCAACCCTCTCACCACACCACCGATCACCAACCCTCTCACCACCCCACCGCTCAGCATTCATCTCACCTGCCCAGTCACCACGCCGCTCAGCACCCCCCTCATCACACCACCCTTCTCAGCACCCTGCCCAGCACCCCTCCCAGCATCCCATTCAGCACCCCCATCATCACACCACCCCTCTCAGCACTCTGTCCAGTACCCCTCCTAGCATCCCATTCAGCACCCCCACCATCACACCACCCCTCTCAGCACCCTGCCCAGCACCCCTCCCAGTACCCCATTCAGCACCCCCATCATCACACCACCCCTCTCAGCACTCTGCCCAGCACCCCTCCCAGTACCCCATTCAGCACCCCCATCATCACACCACCGCGCATCTCTCAGCACCCCACCCATCACAACTACCCCCCTCCCCGCACCACCCCCCCCCCCTCCCTCCGACTCACCGGCCAGCTCCCTGCGTTCCGGCGGCACGGCGCCGGGCGCGCGGATCATGGGCACGCTGCACATGTAGCCGTTGGTGATGCCCAGCAGGATGGAGAGGGCGCAGGGCCAGGCCGGTGGGGGCAGCGCGGGGGCCCCCAGCGGCGCGGTGCACAGCACCAGCAGCGGGATGAGAGGCAGGCGCGACAAGGAGCCCAGCACCAACCACAGCGGCTTCCAGGGCACGGGGACCGCGGCCAGAAACTGAGTCGAGCGGGCGGGGGTCGGAAGGGTCGCGGGGGTCGCGGGGGATTGGGGGGTATGGGACGGAGGGGGTGGGCGGGAGGAAATTGGTTACTTCTAAATATTTATAGCAACTTTATTTTTTATATTTATATGAGCTATCATCCCTCCACATTTAGAAACACGCGTTCAGAGTTTTTGGCTGCAATACATCCCCACGTGATAAGCCACTTCGTTGAGCTCTCACTTGTGATGGGCAGGTCGCACCGCCGTTGGACAATCTCAGGACATGCGCTGCTGGACACTCAAGTAGCTTCGGCCCCATGCCCCCCCCCATGCCCCCCTCCCCTGCCTGCTGCGCCACTGCCCCCCTGCCCCTCTGACCCCCCGTGCCCCCACCCTCCCTGCCCGGCTCCCCCCCCCCCCCCGCCCACCCCACCCGCACCTTGCCGAGGAGGTCGGCGTAGTTGAAGAGCGCCATGAGCATGATGGGCATCCACTCGCCCAGCTCGCAGCTGCGCACCTCTGAGAGCAGCCCCGGGTAGACGGTCAGGGAGATGAGGTACGTGATGGCGATCGCCGACATGTACGGCCACAGCAGGCGGCTCACGGCCAGGCGAGACCCTGACGGAGGAGGGGGTGGGGAGGAGGGGGTGGGGAGGAGGGAGTGTGGGGGGGGGGGCTACGGGTCAAATCGGGCAGGCTCAGATCCCAACATCATTGCAGTTTCTGCCCCTGGCGCCACGGTGGTGAGATGTTAACTACCTCGCCTGATTTACAGGAGGTTGTCGGTGCGATCCCCGTGTTCGTATGGATTTTTCGCCGGGTCCTCCCGGTTTTCCCTTCCGCATTCAGAATCAACATCACGCGTTTAGAGTATTTGTCTGCTAGAAATGTCCACATGATGATAAGCCACTTCGTTGGGCTATCATTTGTGATAGCTAGGTCGCTTCTGAAAAAGAGTTATACAGCTCAGTGGCCCTTACCTGGTAAAATAAAATAAATAGTTTGTAGTTTAGTAAAGACCGGGACAGGCACTGTGGGCAGCAGAGTGGCGACCTTTCTGCGTGCAGTTTGTTTGTTGTCCCCACTTGAATGTCCTCCTTCCCCCCGCACCTCCGACTCCTTCCATCCGCACCTCCGATTATCCCGGTTGGCTACGTGCGGTGCGAAAGAAGTTCATCATGGGGTCTCCTCCGGTTTCTCCAGTTTACTCCCATGGCTACCAATACACACACACACACAACGTCTGTGGTTTGGGGTTGGTCAAATATCCCAGTGCAGGACTCTCTAGAATACCTGGAGGAAACCCACGCAGAACAGGGTGGGAACATGCAGATTGACACACCGACATACGCCCGAGTCGGGAGTCGAACCCAGGTCCTGTGCTTGAATCACCACTGCGAATCGCTGCTGCCCTTGTTACTGGCGAGGGCACTCCCTCTAAGTAGCGGCGCCCTGTCTGCGCGAGCGAGTGAGTGAGTGAGTTGATCGCTGTGCGTCTGCACCAGACGTTAGGGTAGCGCGGTGAGCATTACCAAAGATTTTCTTCAAAGTGCCTTTGCTCTGCACGGGAGGGTCCATGCGGACGTAGACACCCCCCTCCTCGCCCACATGGTTCAGTCCATCCCACACGGGCGAGTCATCCTTCTGGGTGACCTCATTCTCCTGGTGGGGGAGATTGTGACGGAGGAGGAGGAGGGGGGGTGAGATACATAATAGCTTCTTGTCCCGTTTTGACCAAGACAATAACAGTAAAATGCTCACAATTGAATTTTAAAATGTGTGTGTGTTTGTATGTACGTTAGTCTGAATTCTATACAACGGATAGGTTTTCTATCTCGGTATATTTAGTTATTTATTTCGGCTATCATCTTATTGCCCTGTAACGAATTATGGCTTCCACCCAATCCGCCTCCGAGAGGTTTCGCCGTGGGTTTTTGGAACGTGGCCACATCAGAGTGGCCTCCTGGCTTGGTCTGACCCTGAGGTTTCGCCGAGGGTTTTTAGAACGTGGCCACGGCAGGTTGGCCTCCTTGGCTTGCTCTGACCCTGATACGGAGGGTCTATCTGAGCCCTCAGTTGAAGGCAGAGTTAGAGGGCTCACATGGACCCTCCTGTCTCTGACACGGAGAGTGCAGGAATTGGCATTTATTTTCGCGATTTGGGAATTGATTGGTTCCGAGGTATGGTTTGGAACTGTATAATAGTACTGTGGTGTACAGGACTGCACAGTGTCCATAGTCCTGGGCCAGGGGTCTGTAACCTGCAGCTCCAGAGTCGCATGCGGCTCTTTAAGGACTGCATCGTGACGTAATTTATTAAGGACCCACGGTTTCGTATTCACCACATGCATTGCGGCTCTTAAAATATTGACCTTTTTTTACCGAATTGTTATTTTTTTGCCGAACCCTGACTATGGGAGTCCAGTTAACCATGGAAGTCCAGTTTACCATGAAAGTTGAGGTTATCATGGAGGTGGGGGGGGGGGGGGGTGGCGGGGGGGGAGACCCCACGACAAATATAAAAACACACACAGACGACTCACGAATGTCACTTCCTCGCCTGCCACGCTGTGCCGGGCCACGTAGGGCGCGGCCGTGCCCCGCTCGGGGAGAGACTCCGGCTTGGAGGGGGGCACGGGGCGGCGTCCCCCACCCCGCGCCGCCGCCGTGTGGTGGTGCACGAAGCGGGAGCGGCGCACCAGCTGGTGGCACAGGAGGCACACCACCTCCATCGCCGCCACAGCCGCGAAGAAGATGCCCGTGTTCGTCCTCACGTCGCCCACGGAGGCACGGGTCACCACGCGGGTCGTGGAGGCCACCACCCCCGCCAGGCCTTGGGTGGAGAGGGGGTGGAGGTGGCACCGCTAGGATATTGCGCAGAGGTATGGTCGAAAAATCCACATGATGGCCCTGGGGTTGGATCCCCAGTTCGATTCCCGCTTGCTCGGTGGTGAATATCTGAAGCGGTTCTGGGGCTCCCGTAGGTCGACGCAGCCTAAAATGAAAACCTGATTGCGGTGTGTAAATATCAGCACGGGGGAGACAAAGGCGGCCCGGCGTGTAGTCGACCACACCAACCCCCTCGTGCGCCATGACAGCCTTAATAGGTGCTCCCCAACAGCCCCAACAGGCTGCGCAAGCTGCACAGGGGAACTGTGTGTTCATGTGTGTTCGTGTGAGTGTTCATGTGTGTGTTCATGTGTGTGTGTTCATGTGTGTGTTCATGTGTGTGTTCATGTGTATGCTCATGTGTGTGTTCGTGTGTGTGTTCATGTGTGTGTTCATGTGTGTGTTCGTGTGAGTGTTCATGTGTGTGTTCATGTGTGTGTTCATGTGTGTGTTCATGTGTGTGTGTTCATGTGTGTGTTCGTGTGAGTGTTCATGTGTGTGTTCATGTGTGTGTTCATGTATGTGCTCATGTGTGTGTTCGTGTGTGTGTGTGTTCGTGTGTGTGTGTGTTCGTGTGTGTGTTCATGTGTGTGTTCATGTGTGTGCTCATGTGTGTGTTCATGTGTGTGTTCATGATGGGGAGCGGTGGTGCAGCGGTTAGCGCGCTGCGCTACGAACCCGGCGACCCGAGTTCGATTCCCGCTCATGGCCAACACCAGTGACGATTATCTGAACCGGTCCCGGGCATCCCCTAGGTCGACTCAGCCTCAAATGAGTACCTGGTGCAGTGTGTAGTAAACACTAGGGAGACAAAGGCGGTCGGGCGTGGTGCTGGCCACCCACCCCCTCGTGTACCGTGCCGGCCTTCATAGGTGCTCGCTAACAGCACTTGCCCCTACAGTCTGTTAAGGCTATGCGGGGGATCTTTGTCTTTGTTTGTTCATGTGTGTGCTCATGTGTGTGTTCATGTGTGTGTTCGTGTTCATGTGTGTGTTCATGTGTGTGTTCGTGTGTGTGTTCGTGTGAGTGTTCATGTGTGTGTTCGTGTGTGTGTGTGTTCATGTGTGTGCTCATGTGTGCGTGCTTGTGTAATGACAGTAGAGTCAACCTCCGGTGTGAGTAGAGTTAATGAAAGGAGAGTCAGCCTGCAGTGGGAGTGAACTAGTGGCCACGGGAGGTAATGACAGGGGAGTCATCCTGCAATGCGAGTGGACTCGTGGCCACGGGAGGTAAGACTCGGGGCTGTTGCAGTGGACGTGTCTCTTAAATAAAGAAACCATCTCAAGAGAAGCGTGCCGAGTCGTCATAACACTTGTATACTCACTCTCGCCCGTCATCACGGCCTGCGTGTGCCGAGGCGGCAGCATCCCCGAGAAGCCGTAGTAGCTGGCTTGCTGCACTTCACACAAGACAGGAGCGGCGGAGGGGTCAGCCGATCCTCCCTCCCTCCCATCCCAACCCCTCCCTCCTTCCCATCCCAACCCCTCCCTCCCACCCATCCCAACCCCTCCCTCCCTCCCATCCCAACCCCTCCCTCCCTCCCTCCCACCCCTCTTCCCATCCTCCCTCCACTACCTGACATCTCCCGTCCCCTACCTCCCGTCCCATCCGCACTCTTCCACTCACCTCCATCGCTTTCCCTTCCTTACCATCACCTTCCTTGGTCACCCTTCCCTCCATCCTCATCTTCCTCCTCCCCATCCCATCCCCTCTTTACCCCCCCCCGCCCACCACGTGTCACCTGTGCCCCCCCCCCTTTCCTCCCCCGGGTCACGTGCTGCCCACACCTGTGCCCCCCCCCCCTTTCCTCCCCCGGGTCACGTGGTGCTCACACCTGTGCTCGCGAAGGCGACGACGGCGACGGAGAGCAGGTGCAGCTGGTAGGAGGCGTGGCGCGGGATGAGCCCGAACCACACCTCGCACAGCCCCACGAAGAGCAGCGGCAACAAGGCCAGCACGTAGCCTGGCACGGGGTCACGGGGTCACGGGGGCATGGGGTCACAGAATCTTGGGAACACGGAGATACGAGGTCACGGGCACGTGGAATCTTGGGGTCAAAATCATCGGAATCAGAATATGTTTTTATACTGGAGGAATCCGATGAGCTATAAAGCGCTACATCATGGGACCTCCTTTGCCAGTACCAAAATATGATAATAGGGTTTTCCCCTTTTTCTGGCAACAAAAACAGCTGTGTTAAGATGTTAAAACACCAAATTGAAACCTTTTACAAAGAATCATATCTGTATTAACCACAATGCTTGTGATCAGAATGCAAACAAAAAACTTACTCTGGTAATATATGCATTGTCCTTGAAACTGATTTGGGCCTTTTGGCGTCCTCTGGTCTAATACCGTTTGAGACGAGGCTCAAGAGAAAGCTGTCTCTGGTGTGGACCAATCAGTTTCAAGAACAATGCATATAGAATCAGAGTATGTTTTTTGTTTGCATTCTGACCTCAAGCATTGTGGTTAATGCAGACATGATTCATTGTTAAAGGTTTTAGTTTGGTGTTTTAACATCTTAACACCTGTTTTGTTGCCAGAAAAAAGGGGAAAACCCCTATTATCCTTTTAAGCGCTTTTTCGCGGATGTCCAGTTGGGGCGGGTCAGAACGTTACAAGAACAAACAGTACACAAAGTATAGGAAAGGTAAACAAATCACTTTTAAAAAAAACACGGAGGCACCGGGACATGGAGTCACGGACACACGGGGTCACGAGGTCACGGGAACATGGAGACACGGAAGTATGGGAACACGTGGTCACGGAGCACGAGGGGCATGTCCTGTGGTACAGCCATGGAAATATTCCTGAACGACATGCTTTTAAAACGATGTAAAATCGTTTCAGGGACGGGGGGGGGGGGGCTGCCCTGTCACGTGCCCAAGTCCTCAGAAATATTCAGGGAGGGGGAGGGGGGTTCAAAGGTTGTGTCGCCACTTTTCTTCCCTTAAGGACGGTAAATAGATGCTGCAGTTCAAGCCCCTTGCATTGAATTAGAGAGCGATTTGTGATCACGGGGTTTACCTAATAGCCTTTTGGTAGGCTGTGACCGCGAGTGCTGTTAGCGAGTAGCAGCACCTACGACGGCCGGCATGGCGCACGGTGGGCTGGATTGCCAGGCCCACGCCCGCCCGCCTTTGTCTTCCTAAGTGGCGATGTTTACACAACGTACCAGGTACCCATGTGATAGGGGAGGCCCAGGACCGGTTGAGGTATTCGTCACTGGGCTAGGTGGCCGTGAGCGGGAATCGAACTCGCACACGCGCATGCACGCACCGGCAGTGATGCGCGTGTGCATGTCCACCCGTTCCACCAGGAGGCTCACAAGCAGAACGGTGCAGAGCGACGTGACGAGGTAGGTGGTGTTGATGTCGAACACGATGGTCGAGTCTACGGCAAGACACATCATCATCAATGTATCGTCGACACGTCATCATACATTATCTCAATACATCATCATGAATACATCATCGTCCATTACATCATCATTGAAGGGTAAACCCACCTGGGTATGCTCTGTGCAGTTAGGGGGTTATGGGTAGCCTCACCTGGGTATGCCCTGTGCAAGTAGGGGGTTATGGGTAGCCCCACCTGGAGATGCCCTGTGCAGGTAGGAGGTTATGGGTAGCCTCACCTGGAGATGCCCTGTGGAGGTAAGGAGTTATGGGTAGCCTCACCTGGAGATGCCCTGTGCAGGTAGGGGGTAATACGAAGCCTCACCTGGGTTTGCCCTGTGGAGGTAAGGGGTAGTACGAAGCCTCACCTGGGTATGCCCTGTGGAGGTAAGGGGTAGTACGAAGCCTCACCTGGAGATGCCCTGTGGAGGTAAGGGGTAGTACGAAGCCTCACCTGGGTATGCCCTGTGGAGGTAAGGGGTAGTACGAAGCCTCACCTGGAGATGCCCTGTGGAGGTAAGGGGTAGTACGAAGCCTCACCTGGGTATGCCCTGTGGAGGTAAGGGGTAGTACGAAGCCTCACCTGGAGATGCCCTGTGGAGGTAAGGGGTAGTACGAAGCCTCACCTGGGTATGCGCTGTGCAGGTAGTCCACGTCGACTGTGAAGCAGTTGTAGGGCAGCAGGAACCCCGTGCCCGCCAGCACCATGGACAGGTAAATGAAGTGGCACGGGTCACGTGGCTCCTTGTGGGGGTCCGCGGGCCCTGGGGGGGCGGAGGGTGTGGGGGGGGGGGCGATTGAGGTGCGACCGGACCCAGTCACCCCGTGGCGCCCACGTGGTCAACAACAACAATAACAACAACAATAACAACAACAATAACAACAACAATAACAACAACAATAACAACGATGACGACGACCCCCGTTCGCCACGAAGCGGCGGTCACGTCACCACGCACGACGCTTGTGCCAGGCTAGGTGCACCTTGAAGTTGTGCAGAAGACTCGCTGGCAAGGAGGTAAAGGGGCGGCCCCAGGTGCCACCGGCTGAGACGACCGGCTGATGCGCACCGCCTGTGTGTGTGCACGCCCCTACTGTGCCAACTCGCTGCGTTTTATCCGCCCGGCGCTCCGCTCGTTGTTGTGAGCGTCGCTCCCTCCGCCCTCCAAATTGCCCACGAGCCTCCTCCTCTGCGAACGAGGAGAAGGAGGCGGATCGCGAAGGCCGAATTCCGTGGTCGACTAATCCCTCATTCCACGCACACTCTGCCGCACACAGCCTGTTACAACGACAAAGATCCCCCGTATAGCCTTAACAGACTGTTGGGGCAAGTGCTGTGAGCGAGCAGCACCGATGAAGGCCGGCACGGCACACGAGGGGGGGGGGTGGCGAGCACCACCACGCTCGGCCGCCTTTGTCTCTCCAGCGGCGATGTTTACACATCGCACGAGGTACTCATTTGAGGTTGAGTCGACCTAGGGGAAGCCCAGGACCGGTTCAGATAATCGTCACCGGTGTTGGCCGTGAGCGGGAATCGAATTCGGGTCGCCGAGTTCGTAGCGCAGCGCGCGAACCGCTACACTACCGCTCCCCACTCAGCCTGTTACACCCCCCATCTCACGCACCGCTCCATTTCACTCCCCCCCATCTCACTCCCCTCCATCTCACGCACACCACCCGTTTCACTCCCCCCCCCCATCTCACACTCCCCCCCCCATCTAACACCCCCCCCCATCTCACACCCCCCCCCCCATCTCACACACCCCCCCCCATCTCACACCCCCCCCATCTCACGCACCCCCCCCCCCATCTCACGCACCCCCCCCATCTCACACCCCCCCCCAATCTCACACACCCCCATCTCACGCACCCCCCCCCATCTCACGCACCCCCCCATCTCACACACCCCCATCTCACGCACCCCCCCCCATCTCACACACCCCCCCCCCCATCTCACACCCCCCCATCTCACGCACCCCCCCCCCATCTCACGCACCCCCCCCATCTCACACCCCCCCCCCATCTCACACACCCCCATCTCACGCACCCCCCCCCATCTCACGCACCCCCCCATCTCACACCCCCCCCCCATCTCACACACCCCCCCCCATCTCACACCCCCCATCTCACGCACCCCCCCCATCTCACACACCCCCCCCCCATCTCACACCCCCCCATCTCACACCCCCCCCCATCTCACGCACCCCCCCCCCCCCATCTCACCCCCCCATCTCACACCCCCCCCCATCTCTAGCCCCCCCCCCATCTCACCCCCACCCCCCCCCCCCGTCTCACACTCCCCCCCATCTCTCACCCCCCCCATCTCACCCCCCCCCCGTCTCACGCACGTAGCGCCTGTTGGTCGTTGTTGCGCTCGGGGCTGGAGGGGAAGCTGCTGTCCGGACTCTCGTCGAATCCGTGGTTCACGGCTCCCGCTGCTCCTCCCGCGGAGCTGCGCTCCATCTCCTCCTGGGCGACCTCTCTGCACGTCGCGTCCTCCTCTTTCACGTCCTCCTCCTCCTCATCCTCCTGCTCCTGCTGCTCCGCGTCTCGGCCAGGCGTCATGGCGAGAGCGCGCCTCGCGACATCAACAACAACAGCAGCAGCCTCCTCCTCTTGCTCCTCCATTCGGCTCGGGAGAGACACAGCGAGGCGCTCCGGGCAGGAGCGGCGCGCGTGCGTGTGTGTCCTGTTGTGTGACTGGGGGGGTGTGTGTCAACGTGCGTGCGTGTGTGTCCGTCCGTGTGAGTGGGGGAGTGTGTGTGTCAACGTGCGGGTGTGTGTGTGTCAATGTGTGAGTGGATGTAGGGGGTGCGCGGTGTTGGCCACCCACCCCCTCGTGCGCCGTGCCGGCCTTCATAGGTGCTGGCTAACAGCACTTGCCTCAATAGTCTTTGGAGGCTATACGGGAGATCTTTGTCTGTGTGGGTGCCTATGGGGTGGGGGGCTGTGGTGTAGCGGTTAGCGCACCGCGCTACGAACCTGATGACCGGAGTTCGATTCCTGCTCACGGTCAACACGAGTGGCAAATATCTGAACCGGTCCTGGGCCTCCCGTAGGTCGACTCAGCCTAAAATAAGTACTGTACCAGGTACGATGCATAAACATCGCCACTAGGGAGACAAAGGCGGCCGGGCGTGGTGCTGGCCACCCACCCCCTCGTGTGCCGTGCCGGCTTTCATAGGTGCTCGCTAACAGCACTTGCCCCTACAGTCTGCTAAGGCCATAGCGGGGATCTTTGGCTACACTCCGACTACGGCTCCTCACATATCACCACCGCCACCACACCCAAGCCGCACTTTGTGCCTCCAAATTAATCGCGGTTGCATGAATCGCAGATAACCCTCCATCACACACGGCCTCAAATCACAAAGTCCATCAATCCAACCAGCCACCCTCTCCAAGACGTTCGCTCCCGACGCCTGTTTATCAATTGTAATTGGTGGAGCGGTGGCGCAGTGGTTGGTACACTGCACCATTAACCCAGCGACGTTACGACATTATTTCTAGATTTTATTTTACCAGGTAAGGCCCATTGAGCTATGGAGTTCTTTTTCGGAAGCGACCTGGCCATCACAAATGATAGCTCAACAAAGTGGCTCATCACGTGGGAATTTAGCATCGAAATACTCTAAACGCGTGACGTTGATTCTAAATGCGGAGGAACCGGAGAAAAATCCACGCGACCACGGAGAGAGACACGCAAACTCCAAATATATACAGCAGGCGTCAGGGTCGAGGTCGACCCCACGACTTCCTGTATACCAGGCGAGGCAATTAACATCTCACCACGGAGAGAGAGAGAGAGACACGCAAACTCCAAATATATACAGCAGGCGTCAGGGTCGAGGTCGACCCCACGACTTCCTGTATACCAGGCGAGGCAATTAACATCTCACCACACTTTGGGTTCCGATCCTGGCCACGGCTAACATCAGCTGCCGGGTGACATCGGGACGGGTCCTGGGGGTGTGGTGCCCCTTTTCACCCAAACCTCGCGGTGACCATGGCGGTGAGGTATGGTCAACAACCCTCATCCAGCAGTGGATTGAGAATGGACTGCCGGTGTAATCAGCTGCGGCCAGCTTGTTGTGCACTGTGGAGCGTTTCGAGAGATGGGTTCTAATCGCGTGCGCCCTACTGGGCGGTTTTGTTGAACTCGCAGGGGCAAAGCCTTCACGCGGCAGAGGAATTGATCATGGCTCGCGGTGGGCGATGATGGTGATGGTGCTGCTGCTGCTGGAAATGTCTTGCGCTAAAAGTGCCACGCGGTGACTAATGAGCTCCGTGCGGTTCGAAAGTTCGCGAGAGCAAATTGCTCCGCGTTCATCGCTCAAATGACCCCGGAGTCAGCTCTTGATTATTCCGTCACTTTGGGAGCAAGAGTCGAGTCCGTAAGCAGATTTGCGATTTCATCGATGGTCATTGAACAACACCCAACTGGAGTCACGTCTCCCCCCACCTCCACCCCCCCTGTTGAGCTATCATTTGTGGCCAAGTCGCTTCTGGAAAAAATAAGTTAATAGTTCAGTGTGCTTTAGCTGGTAAGATGAAATAAAAATGTTGTAGTTTTATTTGTGCATTTTTTTTTGTTTTTTTTATTATTTTTTCTATACTTTGCACTCCTATCGTGTTTTTGTGTTGCTTGTTGTTGTAACGTCCTGACCAGCCCTGACTGGACATCTGTGACGAAGAGCTTTATAGCTCATCGGATTCCTCCAGGATGAATAAACATTCTGTCTCGCACACCCCGCGTCGTTCAGCCTTTGGGGGGGGAGGAGGGGGCGCAGTTCCTCCGGGGTGGTCATTACCCACACTGCACCACGGGGCAATTCAATTAGACTCGATGTCTTTGGTGCAGAGGTGGGGGTGGGTAGGGTGGTCGGTGGTGGTGGGGGGTAGGGTGGGGTAGGGTGGGTGGTGGTGGGGGGTTGGTGGTAGTGGCGGGTGGAGGGGGTGGGTGGTGGTGGGGGAAACAGACCCAGATTTATAGAGGGCGATGTACCAAACCATTTCGGAATTGAATCATTCGTCAAATTTAGTGACAGAAACAAGCAAACGCATTCACACACGTATGTACGATGCTTGACGTGTCCATATTTAGCGCGACGTGGTCAACCCAACCCCTGACTCTGTACCTAACCCTAAACCCCACTGGCATTTAAATCCTCATTTTAAAAAAATCTATGCTTTCGTTCGCTCCACGTTTAACCCGTGCTGTCAGTCGCTCAACCCGCCGGTCTTCGGCCTCGCTCAGACAGGAGGGAACCCCGCGGCGACCAAGCCTCGTCTCCCATGCGAGTGCAAGGTACCCGCCGCAGTCGATGCGTTGACCGCAACCAGCTCCAAGTGAGGGTACGGAGCCAGCCATTTCCCCCCCGTGCGTCCGTGCCCAGAGCGAACAACAACAACAACGACGACGCCTGCAGGCGTTTGGGCATCCTTCTTAGCGGTCGCCCCGCCAACACGGAACCACTCGGCCTCTCAGCCGCAACTAAATTCCCTCCCCGCTGCTCTTAGCCCCCGTCCCACCAGCACCCCACCCCCCGCCACCCAGCCCACGGCTTCATACTCAAAATCTGTGTCTATTCTGGAGGGATCCGAGCAGCTACAGAGCTCCGTTTCACAGATGTCCAGCTCCGATTGCTGCTCGCTGACTTCATCCTGGTGGAGAGGGGGCGGGGGGGGCAGGGAGGGCTGCCCGCTTCTCTCTGGCGCTGTACGAGGGCCCAAGCTGCTGCCCCCCCCCCCTCTCTCTCTCGACGACTCGCCTACGTCACAAAGACAGTCGCACGCACGTGGGCACAAAGACAAAGATCCCCCGTGTAGCCTTCACAGACTGCTGGGCCATCGCCTCTTAACAATACTCGGCTAAGCTTTCATTTACAGTAACGTACAGTGTGTTTATTGTGCATTTAAGCAGAATCATCCGTAACGTACTAAATTCGAATTTGTCATTCGATCTCCGTTGTATTCCACAGCACGTGGTGTGCAAGCCAGGCCAGCCTTGTAAATCAGTAGCCATTGTTGTCACGTGCCTCAATGGGCCCGTGTTCCCTCGGCGCCGGCTCAATAAATGACACCACCGCTGCTATACGGACCCAACAATAAATATTATTGTAAAAGCAACAATTGACATCGCCATCATGGCCAAAAATTAGCGATGTAGCCGGCCGACACTGATGGATAATTGCGGACAAGAAAAACAAAAACATAATTGGGATGGGCAATTTATCTTTTATTTTGTCCAGCTTTAACCATGACACGGGAACGCATCGTTCATATCGAAATAACGATTACAAAAACCGCGCGCGCACGCACACACACACACAACAAACACAGGCGTGCCTCTGGGCCGGACTCTGTAATTGAATGATGAGGCAATAAGCATCACAGGGGGATTGATGGTGGTCTGTGTTTGCATCAAGCCCTGCAGAGAGGAGTGGCGGTGGGGGGGAAGCCCACGTCACGATCATGCAGATATCTCCTGCGGTGCGGGGCGAGATGCGGGGTAGTGGTGGCGCCACGGTGGCTAGGAGATGTTAACTCCCTCGCCTAGTATGCAGGAGGTTCGTGGGTTCGGTCCCGACCCCGACGCCTGCTGTATATTTGGAGCCTCTCTACCCGTGATCACGTGGAGTTTTCTCCGGGTCCTCCGGTTTTCCCTTCGGCGTTTAGAATCAACGTGCATTGAGTATGTCTGCAAAAATTTCCACAGTGAAAAGCCACTTCGTTGAGCTATCAGTTGTGGCCAGGTCACTTCTGAAGAGCTATACAGCTCAGTAGACCTTACGTGGTCAAATCAAAAACAGTCGTTTAGTTTGTTGATCGTGGGTTCAAACGTCGAATCTGAAGCACGCTGTTCAGACAGACGCACGTTACCGTGAGCTGAGCGATAAAGGACGGTTTCCCCCGTTTAAAGTGTTTTGGATTTTTCATGGCCAATCAGATTATTCGCGTTCCGCACCAATGTATCCTGTCTTCGCGCTTGCAAAAGTGACGGCAGCAGATTCCGATTCTACATCACATCTCGATTTAGCAATATTTTTTCAACTTGCAACGTGGAAGTGATGCCACTTCCTGTAACGGTCATGTTTTCGGATCGATTCAATATTTTTTTGAGCATAAATTTTGTACGTCTAGGCCACGATTTTTATATCCAAAACTGGTACTTGAAATTAATACGAAAAAATAATCTGCAAGACATCCCTAACCAATACGGATGCGTCGTTCCACACCTGGCACAGAGACGCACCGTGAACATCCACGCTCTACCAAGGTCCACAACGTGGAACAATTACCCACAACAGAGATAGCATAGCCAGCCATCATCTATCTACTGCTGGATAAAGATCGCCCCCACCACCCCCTGAAGTCGTCACCTTCTCTCGGTCTCGCAAAACAGCAACCCCATCGGTGCGCACGGGCTCAACTCATCCGCTCCATCTCCGTGGTAGCCGTCCTCGGGAGCGCGGATCGCTCCTTGGGTTGCCACTCCCGTCGCTAGCCCCAGCCAATGTCCACCGTCCCTTGTCGCGTTGAGTCCCCATGCCAGCTATGCCATGCAGAATCGGTTCTGAATTATTGCAATGCTAACTGTACAATGCAGATGCAAGTCAGCAAATGATATCTGTCCCTACACGACTACAACTGCTAAAGTTCACCAGAGGCGATGATGACTCTACGTCAGTTATATTCATAAACCACCACGCTTTGGGAGCGGTGGTGCAGCAGTTAGCGCAGTACGCTATGAACCTGGCGACCCGAGTTTGATCTCCGGCGACCGTCACTGATATCAGTGAAGTTAGACCCGAGCCAGTCCTGGGCCATCCATCCACCCCCCCCCTCCCAATCCACCAAATCCCACAGCGACCAGTATGGTGAAGTATGGTTCAAGCCCCCGTGAACGAAACGTCATAGAGAAGGCACCTTTCATTGGTCAGCTGATTGACAAAGGGCAGCACATTTTTTATTTTGTGGAGTATCTTGGAAAAATGTGACAAATCATTGTTATTTTTTAAACATAACTCATGCTGGCTTCATTTAAACAATCGATGAACCACGTTTTATTATTTAAAAAATGTACACGCTCAATTCTGAACGCATTTGATAATTCACACGGTTGGCCAACTTTTCTCCTCCCGCTCAACCCAACCAGCCCCTCTCTCTGTACAATGAGCGTTTGTGGATCATCGTTGGGTTTTTTTTCTTCCCCCAAGGACACTGCCCCCCCCTCCCACCTTAAATTTCGCAGCTCCCGGTTCACTGGACCAAGGCAAACTGGGCTTTCGCATGTAAATAGCAGGTGAGCGCCAAGTAAGAAGAAAAACAATGCAAAAGGAATTTCCTACATTGTCAGAAAATAACAAAAAACAAAAAGATGTGTGGGGTGCACGGAGGGCAGAAGGAGTGTGGGCAGGGAGGGATAACGGTGCCCGAGACCTCATCCGGAGCAGCCCCGACACCCGCAGTGAACGCACTCGACGATCTTGCCCTGCACCACACGGGCACCGGGGGAGGAGGGGAGAGAAGAAGAGCCATTAGCATTGTTACTCCATTTGCCCCTTCTCACATTCGCATTCTATTTGTGTTTCTCGGCAATCACACAATCGTGACATGACGCAATCGCCATTCGGAACTCTGGAAGGTGACTTCAGAGAAACTGCTTCTCAGGTCACTTCGATTGTCTCGTATCCACACGCGGTGGCACTACTGCCTACTCACGTGGCCTCCTAGAGAACAGGTGTTCACCAGCACACGGGCCTTGGTGCACGTGGGTCCTAAGGCATGCAACCTCATTTTGTGTGAAGGGTCCTTTCCAAGGTGCACGTATCGCCTGCGTTGTTTGTAGGCTCTGACCTGTGTGACCCCATCACCGAGTGGGCCCTGCCCAGCGTGACCCCATAGGGGAGTGGACCCCTCCGAGTGCGAGTACCTGGTGCGACGTGTGAACATCGCCACTGGGGAGACAAAGGCGGTCAGGTGTGGCGCTGGCCACCCCCTCGTGTGCTGTGCCGGCCTTCATGGATACTCGAGTCTGTTAAGGCTGCGAGGAAGAATCTTTGTCTCTGTGTGTTTGCGAGTGTCGCCTGTGTGTTTGGGCCCTGCGCTGGAGGGCCCCTCTCGGGAGGGGGAGGGGGGTAGAGGGGGGGGAGCGCGGGGGGGGGGGGGTCACCTCCTCCAGCTTGGCCTTGGGGACGCGGCAGATGCAGTTGGTGCCGAAGTTTGTGTCGCGCGTTTGGATGCAGCGCAGGCAGCAGAGGTTCTCGTAGCCCGGCTTCTTCCACTTGGCGATGAGACTGGCGTCGGCGTAGCCCTCCTTCACGCAGTAATCGTACAGCTCTACGCGTGGACACACACAAAGACAAACCGTCCCCCCGTATAGCATTAACAGACGACCTTCATAAGTGCTTCGCGAGCACTTGACCCCAGCCATCCTTGCCTGCCGGAAAAGCTCACCGATGGGACTTTGCCCAGATCTTTCAAGGATTTGTGAGCTCCTCACACAATCCAGCCTGCAGGTTAAACCCAGGATGGATCGTCGGCATGGCCAGCCTAACTACCGCTAGCACACACATGCACACACTCAAAAGATAAAGACACACGTGGCCATACACACACACACATGCGCACGTGCACAGACAACGATCCCTTGTGAATACGCACAGGCTGTGGTGGGGGGGGCAGTGCTGTGGGGAGGCATTCAATGAAGACACGTGGGCTGACACAAGGGGCGCGTGCATTGCTCTCGTCCCTGCTCCGCACCTCTGCTGATGGCGTGCCTCTTGTAGAAGAGGTCAAAGATGTAGCGGGACTTCTGGTGGTGGATCCGGAAGATCGGCCACAGCGCCTCCACCTTCCGCTTCCCTTCGTGCGGCTCCGTCTCAGCTGAGGAGGGACACGCGGGGGGGGGGGGGGGCAGGACAGGCTTAACGAGGTGACGGCGTTAACGAGGCGACGACGTTAACGAAACCGGCGTTGACCGTAGCCACTGCTCCGCTTCACAGTGAAGGACCTCCAATTAGCACGGTTGGCTACGTACGGTGCGAAAGAGGTTCAACATACAAAGAGTACATGGATGTCAAATATCCCGTCACGCGATTCGAGAAAGTAAAGGCCAAGCGTGCCGGCGTCACGGTCCAATTGTCTAAAAAATACTTACGAGCAAAATCTCTTAAATAATTTGGAGTAAAATCTTATATAATTTGGTACAAAAACCTACCAACATTGCCCCCTACTGGGCTGCCTTGTGCTGTAAAAATGACGCAGATGCCAAATGTACCAATTATAAACGTGGCCAGGATTTGAGGTCGCAACCCTAACCAAGCCTAAATCTACGGCCCTGACCTAACCAAGACCACCGACCTAACTCTGACCCTGTCTCAAGCCCTAACCCTGACCTCTGATCACAACCTCGGTCTCATTTCAGCCTTGTGCCCTAACCATGATGCGGTCTCTCGTCCCTCGTTAACCACAAGCGTGCTGTGACGGTTCCACCTGAAGACGGAAGCTTGTGTTGCCTCCAAAACGTCGTGATTTTTATTTTATTTTACTTTTATTAATTTAAATTTAATTTTTTTACCTATGTGACTTTACCGAAAAACCCTAAGAATATGAATCCTTGCAGTCACGAAAGCTTCAAATCTAGAAGCAACCACGTGAGCCAGGCAGAAGCCGTATCGGGGACGCGGAGAAGTTAAACAATGAGCCGTGGAGGCGTGCGGCAGTGGCACCACGCACCTTCCCTCATCTTCTGGTCCAGCTCGTCCAGCGTGGGCTCGATCAGCTCCCAGCCATCGGGCGGCGGCTTCCGGCTCCTCTTCACCTTGGGCATCGCGACTCTGACGGGGAAGAAGAAGAGCAAATACATGGGGCTGGGGTCTGGGCTCCCAGAGACCTAGGGGTACTGGGACGCTGGTAGTTTAGGAATCTGGGTCATGGTGTCCTAGAAATGTGGGGTACTGGGAACCTTGCATCATGGACACCTGGAGTCCTAGCAATCTGAGATACCTGGAAGCTGGTATTCTGGGATACCTGGAGTCCTAGCAATCTGGGGTACGTGGAAGCTGGTATCTTGTAAATATGGGTCATGGTGTCCTTGCAATCTGGGGTACTAGGAACCTGGCATCATGGACACCTGGAGTCCTAGCAATCTGGGATACCTGGAAGCTAGTATTCTGGGATACCTGGAAGCTGGTATCTTAGGAATCTGGGACAAGGTGTGCAAGCAATCTGGGGTATTTGGAATCTGGTATCCTGGGAGTCTGGGACAGGGGCTCATAGAAATCTAGGAACCTGGTATCCTGGGAATCTGGATCTCCGTGTCCTGGAAATCTGGGGTACTGTGAAGTTGGTTTCCTAGGAATCTGTGACCCGGGGTCCTCGCAATCTGGGGCGACTTAGAATCTGGTATGATATGAATCTGGCGGGTCCTATGCATCTTAAATCCTAGGGAGAAAAGCCCTGAGTTCTGCAACCTGAATAATCTAGTTTCCTAGGTATCGGAGGTCCGAGCAATCTGGGACAAGGGTCCTACTAATCTTCGCTGATATGAATCCGGGGTCCTATGAAAGGAGGTCCCGGGGAGGGTGGCGGGGAGAGAGGCGGGGAGAGCGCTTGGGACCCTGGCGGTCCTGGCAGTCCGAGGCCTGGGCCCCGAGACGCGAGGTTCTGTGTCGCCGAGAGCCGAGAAGGCTCCCGGTGCCCCCGGGAAGCCGTGGACCCCAGACGGTTGGGCAGCCAACGCCAGGAGCCGACGGCCCTCGGGAGTAGCGTCTGGCCTCTACGCCCACGGGAACTTAGGTCGGCGAGAAGCTTCGGGTACCTGCGGACCTGAGGGCACCAGGAACGGATGCAACTTGGAGACGAAACCCGCGCGCAGTTCGTAGAACTCGCGAATTCGCTCCGTCTCGTGTCCGGCCCTGCTGGGTTACTTCCGGGGGTCACCGAGAATTTTTATTATTTTTTTACAATTAATAAGGATTAATATGTTAAACCCCCGTCGCTGAGCGATATCACGAATTGTGGTGTTGTACACTTGATCGCATCGCTGCGGTATAAAGTATTTTAGTTTAAAAAAAAAAACCTCGTGGAGACCTCGGGGTGTGACCCGGAAGAGCTCGGCTCCGGCGGCAAGCGGCAAGACGCGGGGTTCAAGATGCCGCGAGGTGATGCCAGCTTCTCCCCGTCCGCCTCGCCTGCTCGCTCATCCTCCTCCTCCATCTCGTCGTCTCTCCCCTCCTCGCCTCTCACCTCCTCAGCCACAATCTCCACCTCCTCCCCGCGGGGCTTCTGCACCCCCGCACCCCACGGCCTAGCGCTCCGTACCGCGTTGTGCAGCCTCGGTCTCGCCTGGATTCTCCCCGGGGTTTAGTCTCCCCTCACCCCCCACCGCCCTCGGTGTCGTGGCCCGGGCGGTGGCGGCAATGGTCGTGAATTTTTTTGTTGTTGGGATAATTTGAGATATATTTTAATTGTGATTGTCGTTATGCGGTGTTGGTAATGATGATGGTGGTGATGCTGCAGTTTTTGTTGTTGTTGAGATCTCATGAGATGCATTTGTAACTGCATTTATCTGCTTCACATACCACAATTGTGCTTGCGGTGATGATTGTGGTTGCGGGTGATGTGGTCTAGTTGGTTGGAGGTGGTGTTGGTGATGTTGGTATGGTGGTGGTATGATGGCTATGGTGAGGTGGATGTGGTGATGGTGATATGGTGTTGGTGATATTGATATGGTGGTGTTACGTGATTGAGGTGGTTATGATGGTTATGGTGAGGTTATGAGGTGAATGTGTTGATGGTGGTGGTGTTGATGGTGTGGTGGCGTTGTGGTGACGGCATATGGGTTTTTGTATTTAGAGTGACCGAGTACGTGCTGAGTGACTGATCAAGCATTGCAGTCGACTGTGGGAAGGTCCCAGATGGTGGCCGTGGGTCATGGTATTTGTAACCCAGCAGGGAACATACCCCTCCAATTTCTAATCCATAACCCCAACTCCATTCCCAACCCTAATTCCAAGCCCATATCCCGAGCATTGAACCCAAACCTCATAGCGACCCAGTCTCCTTACCTGCTGCCATTAATAAACCCTAACCATAACCTATTCTTAACCCTATTTCTCACCGTAACATTAAGCAATTTAGCAAACCCCACTGCACCATGAATAAAATACATTCAATTGAGAAATTGCTGGAGTAAAGTAATGTATATTCAAATTACTAATTTGAGGTGTGTAATTTAGATATGCATTCTACACGACGAATATCGTGAAATTATTGATTGAATTACATGTTTAAATATTGCCCATCTCTGCCGGCCAACCCTAACCATAATCGTAATATAACCCATTATACTCACCCCAACAATAATGTTGACTCAAAATCGTATTCGATTATCCGACACAAACCCCCTACACCAAGTGATTTTAACCGCCTATAATGCACTGGGCAGTCTGAATTCAGTCGGCCATCTTCTCTGCCTCTTCCGAGTCCCAAGTGGCTTTTCGGGAAGGACTCAATAGATCCTGGGTGATAACCTACGGTCTCACGTCGCACTTAATTCACAGGAGCCCACTCAGTCCACCCTGGGGGGGTGGAGGGGGGGTGCTTCAGTCTGTCTGAGTGTTAACGGGCTGAAGTCACGGCTTAACCGATGCCCAATTGGCAGTTGCGCAAATTATGCAACCTCGGTTAACGTTTAAAGACGAGCTGCTTTTTGCAACATTTGGTGTTATTTCGCTGCTAATTATGGTTCCAGAAGATGTGGCCTATTCATGGAGTCGGCCGTTGGTTTGACACGTACAAAAATCTAAATGCATGTTCGCTGTCCGAGTGCGGATACAAAAATAATTTTGTCTGACTGAGCACGTTTGACAACTTGGTGCTTAAAGAACATTTAAGGAGCGTTTTTCCCTCATCAAGAAAAGTTTAATCAAAGCCCTGTTTGGTTGACATACCATGCCTCAAGTAGAAATCCAATTAATTATTTTACCAATACTCTTCGGTTCTTTCGGTGTAGGTGATAAACAGTCTGCTGCCTCAGCAGCAGACGAAGCTTTCCCACCTGATGTCGGACGCTTGTGTTGCGCCTGAAACGTCGTGATTTATTTTATTTTACACCTACGTGACTTTTCCGAAAGAACCAAAGAGTATGGATTCCTGCAGTCACGAAAGCTTCAAATCAGGATTACTTTGCCAATAATTGCCCACATCTTTAAGGTGGCTGAAATATCTGTGGGAAACATCGTGGAGCTGCTCAAGTGAGAGAGTGAGAACCAAACCCGATCCCTGGGGCCGTGCTCATGTCCGTGTGTTCTGTGTGAGCAGGAAGGAAAGGTGGCCATAAAGGCCGGGCCAAGCAATTCACCGACCCCGAGGAGCTCAAGAGACAGATGGAAGCGGATAAGCTCAACGTGCGTATTGTGGCAGCGGTTGCACGCTCGGCTGTGCAACTAAACTCGTGTCCCAAGCGTCGGCATTGCTACTGCGGTTTCGACCACCACTGCTTGGATGCGTAGAGCTGCTTGGATACGCAGGGCTGCTTGGATACGTAGGGTTGCTTGGATACGCAGGGTTGCTTGGATACGTAGGGCTGCCTTAGATACGTAGGGCTGCCTTAGATACGTAGAACTGCTGGGATACGTAGTGCTGCTTGGATACATAGGGCTGCTTGGATACGCAGGGTTGCTTGGATACGCAGGGTTACTTGGATACGTATAGCTGCCTTGGATACGTAGGGCTTATTGGATACGTAGACCTGCTTGGATACGTAGGGTTGCTTGGATACGTAGAGTTGCTTGGATACGTATAGCTGCCTTGAATACGTAGGGCTGCTTGGCTACGTATAGCTTCCTTGAATACGTAGGGTTGCTTGGATACGGAAGGCTGCTTGGATACGCAGGGCTGCTTGGATATGTAGGGCTGCAGACAAGAGCCGCAAGCCATTCCCTGTACCAATCTGCGTAATAGGGCAATTCAAACGTTAAGAAATGTCAACTATGACATGATGTCTACCGACTAGATGGTACAATGAGATGGACTCATCAGATCGTGTGCACGTGCTCGGTACAGCGTTGCATTTTTGGATCGCGGGAGATGGCAGTGGCTTGGAGGCGGCCTTCATCCAGAAGTGAATGATCCAAAGCTGATGATGATTGATCCAAGGCTGACGATTGTGTGCGTGCGAACACGTGCGTGTCCTAGGGTTGCCACCTTTCCAGTATTGATTCTCCTTTTGAGGTAGCGGTGCTGGGAAATTGTCTTTTGTTCAGTCGCCTAATAATAACACACCAGTCGAGACAATGCATTTGCACCTAGTTCTCCCTCCTGTCGTACTGTGAGATAGCCCTCTTCTTGATATGTTCTAAATTATTCTGTCTCGGAGGTGGCAACTCGAGCATGTCCCCATGTGCCTATGAACACACGTGTTCCCGTGTGTGTGCCTTTGAACGCGCATGGCCATGTGGTGTCATGTCTCAATGTGTGTATCGATGTGAACGTGTCCATGTGAAGGCGTTTATCTGTGTGTGTCTGAACGCGTGTATCCGCGTATATGTGTGTGAACATGTATCCGCGTGTGTGTAAACGCGTGTAGCCGTGCTTGTATTAACACGTGTATCTGCGTATGTGTGCGCAAATGCGTATATCTGCATGTTTGTGCGTATAAACTCATGTATCCGTATGTGTTAACGCGTGTATCCGTGTATGTGTGAACCGGTGTATCCGCACTTGTGTTAACGCATGTATCCGTGTGTGTGTGAACGTGTGTCTGCATGTGTCTGCGTGTGTCTGCATGTGTGTGAACACGTGTCTGCGTGTGTCTGCGCGTGTCTGCGTGTGTCTGCGCGTGTCTGCGGTGTCTGCGTGTGTGTGCGCGTGTCTGCGTGTGTGTGCACGTGTCTGCGCGTGTCTGCGTGTGTCTGCGCGTGCCTGTGCGTGTGTGCGCATGTCTGCGCGTGTCTGCGCGTGTGTGCGCGTGTGTGCGCGTGTGTGCGCGTGGCGTGTGTGCGTACCCCCCACAGCCTCCCAGTGTGGACGGAGAGGACGGTGGCGGAGCGGCAGCGTCAGCAACGCAAGAATCCGAATCGGAATCTGAAAGCAGCGACGACGACTCGCTGGTCAGCAAACCCCTCGCTCACCGTCCCCGCTCACCCCCCCCCACTTACCATCTTAATATACAATTTCATATTTTCAAGTGCACGTTTGTATGTGCGTACCCGCTTATGTACTTACGTCCGTGGGCACGTGTGTATGTGCGTGCATGTGTGTGCGCGCTTGCTCACAACAACGAGCAGGGCGTCGGGCGGCTAAAATGCAGCAAGCTGGCACAGTAGGATGCACAGGTGGTGCATCTGCCAGCCATCTCAGTCATCCATGGCCTGACACAAGCGCCGTGTTAATGTCACCGCCACTTAGTGGCGAATGGCAGCTGGTGTTGTGCGCGTTCACGCGTGGGGAGCGGTAGTGTGGTGGTTAGCGCACTGCGCTACGAACCCGGCGACCCGAGTTCAATTCCCCCTCGTGGCCAATAACAGTGGCGGTACTTTGAGCCGGTCCTGGGCCTCCCCTAGGTCGACTCAACCTTGAAATGAGTACCTGATGCAGAGGGTAAACATGAGCACCGTGGAGATGTAGGTGGCCGGGCGTGGCACTGGCCACCTACCCCCGCCCCCCCCTCCCCGTACGCTTTGCCGGCCTTCACAGGTGCCCGCTAACAGTCTGTCAAAGTCCGTGCGGGGTGGGGATCTTTACCTTCACGCGCGTGTTGTCCATCCACCTTCGCCAACAGCAAAAGCGTAAGGGCGTGGAGGGGCTCATCGACATAGAGAACCCCAACCGCGTGGCGCAGCGTAACAAGAAGGTGACGGACGTGACGGTGGACGATGCGGCGCCCCGGGAGCTGTCGCGTCGCGAGAGGTGAGGGTCCCTGTGGAGAGGTGAGGGTCCCTGTCGACAGGTGGGGGTCATCGCGGCGACACGGCCGAGCGTTGGCGTGTTCTGGGCGCCCGACGCGGAGGTTTCGCGGTTAGGAAATCCGGCAGGCGAATTAGCGGCTCCGTTTTTCGGCAGGTTGCCTCTTGGTTAATTCCGCGGCGTGAATGAATTGACCTTTAAGATGCTCCGCCAAGTCCGCGTCACTCGCAGGGGACGTTGGAGGTCTCGTGACGTCACTCGACGTCACTAGACGAAGCCTGCAGGCCATGTTGCGCTGCCGTTAAGGTCCAGGTTTGCGAAATAAAAAGAAATTACACCGCAAATGACTTGTTTTGGGTATGGCATTCATTGCCTCCTACTCCCACATCTCAGTAGGTACCCTCCTCTCAAGGCATTGAGACGTGGGCTTTGTTTGGATGATCTAGTTTAATAATGGTAATAATTAGCATAGGGTTCTTTGAAAATAGGGTGTCATGTGGCAGCTAATCTGTTGTATTAATTTCAACTTGGATGTGTGGGTTGTCTTCATGAACGAGCGCGACACCAGATGAGGTTCCACGTCAATACATTCCTTCGGGGGGAGTTTTAATGCCGTAATCTAGTCTTACCAGCGTAAACGCCACCGCCTCGTGTGCCGTGCCGGCCTTCACAGGGGCTCGCAGACAGCACTTTCCCCCACAGTGTGTTAAGGCTACACGTGGGGGGAGGGGGGTAATCTTTGTCTGTGCGTGCGCGCGCGTAGGGAGGAACTGGAGAAACAGCAGGCGAAGGAGCGCTACATGAAGTTGCACCTGGCGGGGAAGACAGACCAGGCCCGCGCCGACCTCGCCCGGTTGGCGATCATCCGCAAGCAACGCGAAGACGCGGCGCGGAAACGCGACGAGGACAAGAAAGGTTCGGCCGCCTCGTGTCGCCGCTCGCACCACCTCCGCTCCTGCTCCCCCACCTACTCTCCCGTCTCCTCCCCCACCTTCTCCCCTCCTACTCCCCCACATACTCCCGTTTCCCCCACCTACCCCCAGCTTCTCCCTGAATATCTCTCCCATCCCCACCCCCCATCTCCTCCCTTCTCGTCAATCCCCACCTCTTCCTCCTCTTCTTTATTCCCTCCGCCACCTCCTCCACTCCGCTGCCATCTCTTCCCAAAATCCCCAAAACTCTTATCAGGTCCCAAGTGCCGCTGCCAGCCTCCTCACCCTCACCTGGCAATGAGATGGCATCACCCCGGCACTCCGCAATCACCCCACTTGTCCCAAATTTAATCTTGAATTAACTGCAAGATCGCACCCGCCATTTTCCACGTGTTTACGTTGCATTGTTTGCGTAAGAAAAGTGTAAACAACCGACTCTTACACGGCATGCATCCTGACCGTTAGATTGTAAACTGCTGCTCACACGGTTTCGTTTGCGCTGTTTTCACTCCCCCCCCCCCCCCCCCCGCAGTCAAGGATGTGCCTGCGAAGGGAGGAAAGGCCTAGCAGTGAAGGCTTCGTCTGGGAAGGGGTCGGGGGAACCGGGGGGCGGGGGGGGGTGAGAGGGAGGGGACGACGACGGGAGAGGGGGGGGGGGCCTCCACACCAAGGGGAGCTACGGAGATGGAGCATGCGAGCTAGCGAACGAGCGAGGCGGCGTGTATGTGTGTGTGCGTGCCAGTGTGTGTGTGCCAGTGTGTGTGCCTGCCACTGTGTGTGTGTGTGTGCTTGCCAGTGTGTGTGTGCGTGCCACTGTGTGTGTGCATGCCACTGTGTGTGTGCGTGCCAGCACGTGTGTGTGTGTGCCTGCCGCTGTGTGTGTGCGTGCGAGCGAGCATAGTGCCTGTTAACATGTGAGAGGACGCTTATGCAAGTGTGAGCGAGTGTCGGTGGGTTTGTGCGTGAGCAAGTGCGGAGTGTTGTTGAGCAAGTCTCTGTGAACTAGTGGGTGTGCAGGCGATTGTGCATACCAATGTACAAAAAAGAACACGCACTCGTGTGTAAGTCTGTGTGTGCGCGCGTGTACGAGCGAGTGTCCGAGCGAGTGTGCGTGTCTGAGCGAGCACGAGCGAGGGAGTGTGGTCAGACGGCACGCGCTTCGGATTCGGCGCGAGGGGTCGGCGCCACACGTGTGCCGTGAGGTCCGGATCTAATTGAATCATCGAATTGAACAATTTTTCTGAGCGCGTGAGAGAACGGCCGAAACCCCGAAGCGGGCTGCCCCCTGGCCAACGCGCCATCGCCATCTCGGGGGCAGTCACGTGACCGGTGCCGCCACTCACCCCCCCCCCCAGCCCTCCTCGGCACCTGCCGCACTGCTTGCGAGATTTTTTTTTGCCCAAAGCATTTGTTTTAAGTTAACAAAAAATATAAATAAACGGAGAGCACGAAAGGCCGGCTTGGGAATTGTGAAGCGACGTACAAGGGCGCGTGAGGATCAAGTGGAATGCCGCTGACGGTGTTGGTGGCGATGGTTTTGGTTGCGAGCGGTTGTCAGGTTCCTCCGCGATGCCCCCCCCACCCCCCCCTCCCCCGGGCGTGCCACGTATGTAACATGTCGTGTACGCACGGCTGATTCGGTGCGATCCTGGACCCAGCACCGGGGTTGGGTGTGCACCGACAGTCCTGTAAATTTCTCAAACTCAAAACAGCTGTCGCCTTTTAGTTTCTTTTTTCTATAACAACGCACGTCCCTGGCAACAACACAGCGGCCTCCGCCAGCGCCGTGACCCCCTTTCCCTCGCGCGCTCCCGCCAGGGAGTGAGACCCCCCCCCCCGCCGGGCGGCGTGCCCGCGCAAACCGGAAAGAACGCCTCGATTGGAAACACGCGGAACGGCCCGGCGCCAGCGGTTCGAAGTGAGCGGCGGCGGCGGCCGACGAACCGAATGATTCGTAAACCCGGTAGCTACGTGGACTCCGCTGCAGCCCCCCCCCCCCCCAGGTTGTCGGTCTCCACTCCCACCTATTCCCAGGGGGCAACCACCGCCACGTCGCGCGCCTTCCAGCGTTGAAAGCGGCGACGTCTCGTCGGCCGACTGTGGGACGCGCGGTCAACACAGCTACCACCACCTCCGGTGGCGGCGGTGAGCCGCACAAAGCTCGTGCCCGAGTTCGATTTCCAGTTCGCACAACACCCCGACACCACCTCTCCCGCCGTACCCCGACTGAATTGTGCATTCCATTGGCGTCAAAAGCAAAGTGTCAAACTGTCCCAACAGCCGAGAGAATGATGGCACGCGCAGGTCGTCGCGCAGAACACCTCCCGAGTTCGGACGTTCCCTTGGTCAAAGCGGTTGTCGCGGCTGCGTTGTTTATGCACTGCTGGGTCGAGGCTGCGTCGTGTGCGAGACGTACGGGTTATTGGGTCACACTCCGCCACCCTGGAGTCGAGCGCGGGTTGCTGAAGACGGCTGGGGGAGCATGGAATTACAAAGCAACGGTGGCTTTTGCCGCACTCTCACTCTGCCCCGTGTTTTACTGCCCACCAAGGGATGCGGCGGACCACCGTTTGCCGACCGTGTCGAGTGCACACGCTTTAAGGACATTTCCCGGGGGCTCTCGTTAGAACGACGACTTGCGATGCGCCCGGTCTGTCCCGCACGCCGATGTTTACAGTTGGGGGGGCGGAGAATCATTTCACCGCGGGTGGTTTCTTCTTTTTTGCAACTGGACTCGTGGCCTCTTTAAAACTCCGCGCTGTTCACGGCCAGCTGGCGACGCCCGCTATTTTCCACGCTTACCAATCTTCTGTCTTTGTCGGGGACGGCGGCGGCGGATGGGGGTGCGGGGAAGCTACAATGAAAATCAAGCAGCGGAATACTGGAAAACGTGGAATGGCGGTCGAGTATGAACACAGTTGACCCTGGTTGGTGGTGCTGCGTTCGGGTTTGACAAGGTCAGGGGTCGGAGTGGTGAGGTTGGAGTGGTGAGGTTGGAACGGCGACTCCGTATGCACCAACCCCCCCACCCCTCTCAGTGAGTGGAGGCTGCGCCATTCGCCCACTGCAGGCAGAGAAACGGGACAAATAAAATAACTTGCTTGCAGCTGCGTGTATAGGGGGGTGTGTGTACGTGTGTGTGTGTGGGGAGTGGTGGTGTAGCGCTACGAACCCGGCGACCCAAGTTCGATTCTCGTTCACGGCCAACACCCAGTGACGATTATCATAACCGGTCCTGGGCCTCCCCTAGGTCGACTCAGCCTCAAATGAGTACCTGGTGCGGTGTGTAAACATCGCCACTGGGGAGACAAAGGCGGTCGGGCGTGGTGCTGGCCACCCACCCCCTCGTACCGATCCGGCTTTTATAGGTGCTCGCTAACAGCACTTGCCCCTACATCTGTTAAGGCTATCTGGGGGATATTTGTGTGTAGGGCAGTGTTCACTCCATTAGAGGGGCCCACGTTTCACAAGCGTAGAGAAGGGAGGGCATGGCCGTGCCCGAGAAGACCCGAAGCTTCGTGCGGAGCCACAGACCAGGTAGCTTCCACACAGCATTGCGCAGCCAATGAAAATATAATGCCGCCCGACTGATTCGGAGTGAGACCTCTGCTGTCAAACTGGAGCTGGTCGTAAGCACACTGCCCAGTTATGGGAAACTCGCCACAACTGCTGCGTCACCAACGGGGATCTAATAGGGTGGAGCGTTTGGTGGCACAAAATACCCAGGCAGGTGCTTAGTTTTGGTGAGGCTGATGGTAAGACCCCCAACTCTTAGTGGCACACTCCAGGCTCGGCAGCAGCGCCTCCAACTGGCCATGTAGCTTTACCCAAATCTTTGAAAGATCTGGACACATTCCTATCAGTGAGCTCCTCTGGCAGGCAAGGCTGCGTTGGCTTGGTCATGTAACCCGCATGCCCAAGCAACTTCTGTTTGGCTGCATAGAGGGGGCTAAACGGGCACGACATGGGCCGGAGAATAGATGGAGTGATGTGGTACAGGAGGACGTGGAGCTGAGTGGACTTGCCGATGACTGGTACCAGCGGTGTCAAGATCGGCTTCTGTGGAGGAGGCTCGTGAAGAACGCTACTGGTCAGTTGGAGGCAGTCGCCATCCAGCAAAAACGGAGGGCAGAGGAGCGACGCTCACAACAACGAGCGGAGCCTTGGGCGACTAAAATGCAGCAAGTTGGCACAGTGAGGGGTACAGCTGGTGCATCTATCGGTCTTCTCGGTCAGCCAACCCATGGCACCTGGGTCTTGCCCATGACCTGTCAGCGAGCCTTCGACACTTCACTTGGCCTCAAAGTGCACCTGGCCTGGCACAGGCACCGTGGCGAATGGCGGCTGTGGGTACTGGTTCTTCACTCATGTTCAGGGTGGGGGAGGGGCACTTTTGCCGATAAGACATCGTCGGTGTGTGAGAGCTGCCACATTTGAAACCATTGGGAGTTCGACAGCAGCACGATGATGATACCGCGGAGAAAAATCCACGAGGCAAGCGAGGGTGACAACTGAAGCCATGCACGCGCACGTCACAAATGAAGACACCAGTAGCACTGCGTTTAAACTAAAATAACAATTCTGCGGCGACGTTCCGGGCAATGGCCCTTCTTCACAGCATGACAATCGGACAGCAGCAGCCGCTGTGGGGGTCTCTCCTCGCCGGTGACTGAGCAGCTGTTGCGGGGACAGGGGGTGGGTGGTGGTCCAGATGTCTTGTGACCCCCCCCCCGCACCCCCCACCAAATAAATAACCCCAGAATGTGTTCCCCCTCTTTGCATGTTAATTTCTGTTTTAAATTAACCCTATACCTCATAATCAGCGTTTTTGGGTTTAGATCGCGTTATTTATAAATGTGTCGTAACCCTCCACCACCCGACACGGCCTATACCTATATATGTAACAATTTTTTTTTGAGAATTAAATGTGGCTCACAAGACATCTGGACCAACCTGTGCCAAACCTCACCCCTCACTTCACCTTGACCATCGCGCGCCTGCAACTCATCCCAACTCTGATGAGCCGAACCATGCCTTGCTCCGCGTCTGAAACTGCGTTGGCGGTGGCGCGTAATCACCAATGATTATTGAAGAGAAAAACAATCTAAATCGTCGACCATACTGCTCCACCTATTTGAAAGGAAACGACAACAATAAACGACGTGTCGGGCAGCAGCCCCGTGGAGCGATTCCGGATCAATCCCGACTGGAATCGCAGTGAATCGCATCGCCCTCGGACAGCCAACTCAGCAACCATTAACATCAATTAGCATCAATGATGAAGGCTCCCCCCCCTAGCCCCCCCCCTCAGCCCCTCTACCCCCGCCCCCTTCCCCCCACGCGACCCCTCCCCCCCCTCGTACCCACAGCCTCGCCGCCTCATTGGCCAGCACGTTCACGCGCACCAATTAGGGGTCGCGTGCACGCGCACGGCTCCATCTCTCCCCCGATCCCCCCCCACCCCTCTCATCCCCAACCACAACCCTCTGGCACCGCTTCAGGTCGAATCGATTCACCGCCCGCACACGGAAAATTCGAAGGCGACCGATTCCATTCTTGCACCGCGCGGCTGCCGCGTGCGGATTGTCGATGGCACTGACCGCACGGGGGGCCCCTGGGGGGGGGGCCGGGGGGGGCTGGGCTGGGGGGGGTGCGGGTTAATGAGAAAATTATTTTGTGTTTTGTTTCACAATCTCCATCGCTCGTGAATTATAAACAGCTGATTCCTACCGCGTAGCCACGGTGCTGATCGATTGCGATCGGTGAATCGATTAATCGGTGCATCCCATACACCGCGTCTATTGGAAACCCAGCCGTCGCCAAACACGTGCTCACCGGCGTGGTGAAGTATGGTCAAGGTGCTACCGCACCCCCACGCGACCACCACGACCGCCGCGCGGCGTTGGGGAGATTCCCATCCAGCGGTGGATGAACACTAACGGGGTTTGTGTTTCATCTCCCCGCTCTCCTGCTGCCCCCCACCCACCAACCCCTATATCTGCCCCCCCACCAACCTTCCCCCCTCCATCAACCTCTCCCCCCCCCCCACAAACCTCCATCTCCCCCCTCCCCGCCTCCTCCCCTTCGCTCAAGGCTGCGCATCGCCGCCGAGAGAAGACGGAGAGAGAGGAGGAGAACACGGGGTAGGAGGAGGAGGAGGGAAGAGAGGGGAGGAAGAGGAAAGGGAGAGAGGAGAGAGGGGAGGGGAGAGGAAAGGGAGAGAGGGGGGGAGATAGGAGAGGGGAGAGGAGAGAGAGGAAAGGGAGAGAGACCGGGGACGCAAATCCCTTGCGTTGGTCGAGGCTCCGGAACGGGGGAATTGACAGCAGCATCAACGCCGTCGTCAGCCATCCTCGTCGCTGTCGTCTTCATCACCCGCCGTGGGGGGCCTTGGGGTAGAGGGGGGGGCAGTGTGTGGGGGGGCTTGGGGTAGAGGGGGGGGGGGCAGTGTGTGGAGGGAGGGGGGGGGTGAGCGCGCGGCGCTGCGGAGCTCGGATGTAGCGAGGGGCGCGACATGCAGAGGGAGGAGGCGCGCAGCGGTGAGACTCACGCACGCGCACCACCACCACCGTCACCACCACCACCACCACCGTCACCACCACCGTCACCACCGTCAGCGCCAGCCGTGCTCCATCCACTGCTGGATGAAGCCCCCCCCCTCCCTTTCACCCTCCCCCCCCTCCCCCACGTCGCCACCGCGATCACAACTCT